AGGTGTCATTGCGCTGCATCTCGATAAAGGGTGGAGGTAAGGAAATGCCCTTTCTCTGTTCCCAAGATGTTTTTCTCACAGAGACCCAGCATTTGGGTACATGTTTAGTATTAGTCATTGCCAGCCAGAGAATAAGGTGCTGTTGGAGGTTGAAGGGAAGAAAGGCCGGTTAGAAGAGTCTTCTTTCCAAGCAGCAACACAAGAGAACAAGGTCACCGTTATGCGCGATGCATTTTGAAAGCTCAAGTGCAACCCAGAAGGGCTGCCTGTGTGCGTGGAAAATAAGCAAATATACAACCCAAAGCAATGATCTCTTCATTGGATTTAAGTGTGTTCTTGTCTGGGGGAACGGGAGAGGACTGCTTCCATGGGCTCTTTTCTGGTATGTGATGCCATGCAGGCCCTCGGTGGATGAGGATGCTGAAAGCTACTGCCTGTTTGGGGATATGTAGTCCTTGGGCTTGGACAGAGAAGTCAATGGCTTCGTTACAGAAGTCCAAACAGCAGTCAGCTCACTGACCACCACTGCTGTGCCTTGTGGTGGCATAAGTTACCCAGTGTATAGGTGACCTCCATAGACATTGCTGGATACAAATGTGGGTTTTGACCCAAACCTGCTGTCTAGGTCTATCTACCCTTTACACTTTCAACAACTTTGGAAACCAGCCCACACAGGGCTCAGCTGCTGGCAATATATTTTTTAAAATAAATTTATTTATTTATTTATCTATCTATTTTTGGCTGTGTTGGGTCTTCGTTGCTGCACGCAGTCTTTCTCTAGTTGTGGCGAGCGGGGGCTACTCTTCGTTGTGGTGCGCAGGCTTCTCATGGCGGTGGCTTCTCTTGTTGCGGAGCACGGGCTCTAGGCGCACGGGCTTCAGTAGTTGTGGCTCGTGGGCTCTAAAGCGCAGGCTCAGTAGTTGTGGCACACGGGCTTAAGTTGCACGTGGGATCTTCCCGGACCAGGGATTGAACCCGTGTCCCCTGCATTGGCAGGCGGACGCTCAACCACTGTGCCACCAGGGAAGCCCCAGCTGCTGGCAATTTAAAGGCACCCCTTTGCAAAAGAAAGTTTGAAAGGCCAATTTACACCAGTGAATATATGGCAAGTGTCTCGGATTCCATTAGGGTTTCGAAAGTAACATAGCACGCGGACAGTTCCCAGCTTTGTATCTCACTCCCAGGGTCTCCATACACGGGGTCTGGTGCTGTCGGGGATGGAGAGCTCTCCTAAGCCAGAGCAGGCTGAAGACTTGGACTCTTGCAGCTGAGCTGGATGTCTGGCAATGGGTTGCTTAGTAAGGCTATGTCCAATTTTCAAGTCACTGCCCCAGATCAATGGGCAGCCCACCCCACCTCTTGGTGTCTCCCCAACTCCCTACCAACGAAGCTATACCACCACTATACCCAGAGCTACCCCCGAGGGAGGAAAGGAAACATTCTTTGCCTCCTAGTGGCCAAGGTTGAAAGAAACATGCATTGCTTAAGGTATTTTAAATCCTCGTGGGAAAATAAGTTGTTTCTGCCGAGCAAAAAACGGAAGACTGGGGGAAACATTGGAATATACGCATACTTAATTTTTAACACCTTTTACAGTTCTATAGTCACTAGTCATTTGGTTAATTTAGGAACATAAAAATGTGTTAATGCATAATTTGGTTTGCTCATACAATGACTATGTTTGGTACATTCAGTTTTACAACCTGAAAAGTTTATTAGAAGCATTTTTATTCAGTTCTTAAGTGTTTGTAGATTGTGTCACCTACTGATTCTGTCCCTCTGTCTTTGCTGGTTTGTGAAAAGCAGGTTTGCAACTCCAAATCGTCTAGCTTTGCCCTCCTCCCTTCCATTCTGGGATTTCAAAGCAAGAAGGGCAATAATCATTATGTTTCCAAACACTCTGAGCAGAAAGTTGTTCTCGTTTCAGAAGGCCAGAAGGAGATCCATCTGTCAAGAATCGATAAATGTCATTCCTTCTGTTTGAAAAATGGCGGTGCCTGCAAAGGCTCCTTCCCGCTTGTGAGGGGACACTGCCCAGTTCATCCTCACTGGGCAGGAGTTATTTAGTGGTGTGTTGGAGCTACCTTACGCTGGCTTGGGAGGCTGTGCACATCTCTCCCTAAATGTCATGTTAGTAGCTTGAAATTGACCATGATGGGAGGATTTACACCACAGAAGTAGGCAGATATTACAAATAAGGGCATTTTCCCCAGAGACCCAGTTGGTAAATACATCTCAGCAAAAAACTGATTCTAGTGATTAGTATAGTATAGTAATCAGGATTTTACAGAAAAATCGCACTATTTCATGGATTTTAGAAATCCTTTGGGGGTGGGAAGATTAAGAAAGAAGGCCGGAGAGCAAAATATAGATTACTCTAGAGCCAGCCTACTGCATCCTGTATACTTCTCAGCACTTTCACGTTGAATCCTCACAGTGGTTCTATGAGGTCAAATAGCATTTTAAATAATTTATTATCATAGAAATTAGTTTAATTTTGTCCTTAAAAAATTGAAGAAGGAAGCTTGGGAAAACATGTTTCCTATTGTACCTTTGCTCTTTATTCTGTCTATCTCAAGGTAGAATTGCCAAGTTTATCCTAACCATGACCCTATCTATATAGGTACATCCTAGTAGATGAGAAATTCCTCAAATCATTCAAAACTGAAGTTACTTAAGCAACGATTACCAAGCACACAGGCCTACCACCTTCTTGTATTGCCCCAAGCCGTGCTGGCTTCTGCTTCTAATCATGTATATTTTAGAATTCACTATTGAGTTATAGATATGGGGTTCTTCCCCTTATCGCTAGATAGATAGAGTAGATGGATAGAATTGATAGATCAATTCTACAGATAGAATTGAATCTGGTCTTAATAGACAATTATTGATTCCCTAATTTTATCTCACATTTATTAGCATTTACTACATGCCAGATCTTATGCCAAGATCTTTACCACATTATTTATCATTTATATCAACCCCAATAAGGGCCAGTGTATAAATTATAGGATGCTTAAGGATGGCGCTGCCCAGTGTTCTCAATTTAAGGGAAGTGACAAGCTGTGTTGGTACTCTGCACCCCTCAATGGACTCAGTTGTCTCTCGAGTGTCACAGCGTGCTTTGCACTGTGCTAGTTGCTAAAGAGGATGCTAAAGAGGCCCCGCCTACAGCCTAGATGTGGGAGACAGTAGCTAAGACGTAGAACCGTATCTTATTTCTTTCTCACTGATACCCAAAACATAGTAAGTGCTTGACCTTAATAAACGTTCATTGAATAGGTGAATGAATGAATGAATGCGCAGACTAGAGAACATTCAGATGCAAAACTTGTGGTGCCGACAGTCAAGTTTTAGGTGTACAGAGAGGAGCATGAATTGTAGTGATGGTGGGAAACTGGACTTAAGTCAGGCCTTGAAGTTTAGAAACCTTTCGAATAGGCAGGCCTAGGATTAATCAGTACACAAGCTGGCCATAGCGTTCAGCGCTAGAAGGAGCGCTACTTCAGCATTTCCCAAAGTGTGTTTTGCCAGAGATTCTGCATACACGCGTTGGAGAGACAACACCGTTTCCCCGTTTCTCGGCGCTACACCATACACATAGGCATGCTGAAGTTTCAGAAGAGTCTTGTTGCAAATCACACCCTTAAACTCTGTTTAATCAGCATTTCCCAGATTGACGAGACTGCAAACCCCCTTTTCATGCAACAGACCTATGAGTATCCCTCTGAACGTACTCTGGGAGATGCTGATTAGCGTGATACCCTCATTTTCCAGCTGAGCCCCAGAGAGGTTGAGTGACTTACCCGAGGTCACAGAGCTAATCGATAGCAGAGCCAAGCCCGGGATTCCAGAGTTTTCTGACTCTTTGGTGGTGCGTTCCGTCACACCACTCAGTCTTTCTAATGGCAGCCTTGTCGGCAATTCCCTTGGCTGGACCCTTCACTGCCGCTGCAGCATTGCTGTGCTGACAAGAGCCCTTCCAGAGGCCAGGCTGTTGGAAATTGGAATGAGACACCTGAGTTGGTAAATTATTGCATGCGAAACAGTAAGAGTTGGTTCCTTGCCTCTGAAGAATGCAGTGCAAACTCCCCTGCCTTTTCCCCTCTTCTACTGAGCCCTGATAAAGATATATGTGTTTACTAGGAAGCTCAAGAAAGCCCAAACAAAGCCTGAGGAGCATTTAAAGCTCACATTCCTTACTGCTGCAGAGGGCATCAGCACTGTAGATAATCTGAACCAATCAGTAATAATTGAAGAACATACACAATGCACATAACACACACACACACACACACACACACACACACACACACACACTCACACACATCCTCCCTTGCAAAACTCTTTCGTAGGTGATTTTGTCATATCCTTTGCACAGGGAGCTTCTTTGCCCAGCAGCTCTTTCTTCCCTGTTCCCAGCCCTCTCCCTTGCTCATAAATCCCTTCCTTGAGGACGTCTTCCCTGACTGCACCAACCCCACTGCACTCACTCCTTGGGTCTGCATCCTTTCAGCACACAGGTTGGGCAGTACCAACTCCCACAGGGATTTCCAAGGGTCCTGAAGAGTTTGTCACATGTGGAAGCTTTGCTCCCCAACTGGATCACCATGACTCCAGTGACCGGGGTACCAAGTGCTTATGTTGGCTCAAGAATTGCTGCCTATGAGTGAACTTCTTAGGGCCAGGAAAGAGGTGTGTGTTCATAGTTGAAATTGAGTGGCAAGTGAACGCATGGTGAGTTGAGCCAGAATAGAGGCTGCCCAGAGGCCACAAGCTGGGATCTGAGCTTCTGCTTTCACCAGAAACTCAGCTACTTTGTTAGTGAGTTACTAAGAAGAGAACAAACCGGATGAATGGTGCTGTGGGCACTGGGGATGAGGGCCGAGACCTGGAGGGCCTCCGGGATCATACTCCTCATTCCTGCAACGAAGGCCGTTTCCTCTCCTGTCTTCCCTTCCACCATCACACTCTGCCTCACTTTCAATTCTAACTTCCAGGAAAGGAGAAATCCAAATTTAAAGGCTTCAAGAGATTTTTTGGGAAGAAGAAGAAAAAAGAGCCTGAAGATGCCCAGGGAAAGAGGAACCTCAAACCAAACTTGTCCAGTGATAGTACTAACATCTCTTCCGTGAAGCCAGTTTGGGAAGGTCGACAAACCAAGCCTAGGTAAGCTCAGGTGGGGTGGGGAGTGGGAACGGGGCAAGGGGCAGGTAGCTAGATCCAGGTCCCCCTTTGGCAGCCAAGTCTCCAATGGGCCTTTGGTCCCAGGGACTCTTGGCCTCCCTGCCTGTGGGAGCTGGGCCTGGAGGTCTTTCCCTGTATGCGTGTGTGTGTGTGTGTGTGTATATATATATATATATATATATATATATATATATATATACACATATATATACATGTTTGCCGTCTGGGCTGCACAGCTCAGTGGGTTGCATGGAGTATGACAAATGCATACCCCCTCCCCCAAGAGTGCTGCGTGAGAGGGTGCGGGTAGATCAGGGCAACCTGCGCAGTCACAGCTACAATGAGATGTAGGGGCCTACCATTAGTTAGGAGCCAGAGGACTCTGTTTCATAAGGTAAGGATGGCCTCCGTCGTTTAGGAAGCTTGAGCTGGTTTGCTTGCCCAGTCCTCAGACTCCAGATCTCCTAATGTGTGATTAAAGTCTTAGATAGTGAAGCCGTCTAGCTGGGTTGGGGCATAAGGATGAAATCACTGTGTTAACGTAAAAACAAAAAAGCAAGCAAGCAAAGAACCCAAATTCATTTCTCCCTCCATCCCAGGAGACTGGGGTAAATGCTGTAACTGGTCACAGAAGGTATGGGGAAGACTGTTTCTCAGCCAACATTGCCACTCCTATTCAAATTTTCATCTTTGAAGCCTCAACTTCCACATCTTATTGTGGAAAATCTGGACACCCAGTACCTGTAGCTGTTCCTGGATCAATTGGATTCCTGTCTATGGAGTTCCACTTGGGTCTGTTCCCCTGGCCTTAAATTCCAGACTTATCTGGACTCCCTACAGAGCTCACGTGTACTGCTACCCATTCCCTCAAGGCTTTACTTGGAGGTAATGGGATAGTTAGCAAACATGTTATACTGCCCACTCACAGCACGTAGGTCTCCTTAAAAAGGACCTTACTGAGTGCATTGAATGTGAGGTATTTCAGATAGCTTTACTAGCAAGGGAGATGGTTTTGCAAAGGGGCTTGTCTCATACCTCACAAATCATACCATTATAGACCATTGCATTAGAGGTCTAAGGAAAACTGAGACTAGCCCTAAAAAAACCCCAGAGGGTGAGGTGGGAGAGGGAAGTTTGGGTTTATTCTGATTTGTCTCTACAAATTGGCAAGGGCTGTCTCTACTGAAGTTCTACCTTGCCCCTTTTTACTTGTGCCTCTCCCTCCAAAATGGTCCACTTAGTCTGATGTATTCTCCAGACTAAGAAGGTGTGGGCATGTGCACCTCTGGGGCGGGGAAGGGAGGAAAGGAGAGTGAGAGGGAGTGGGTGTAAGTGCATGAACTAGTTCATACATGAGGAAGGGTGTTTTTCTAAGGACCTGAGATTGGTCTTTTTTTTTTTTTTTTTTTTTGCAAGGAGCGTAAATTAATTAAGAATATACCTTAGGAGGCCTGAAGTTCACCCCTGACCCGAACCTCTTGCTTAATTGCTAGGGGAGAAACCCTGGAGAATATCACTCGGGAGTTAGGGAGATCAGATCCATTGAAGCGATCCATTGAAGCGATCAATCATAACAAAACTTATGGCCAGCCCTCTCCTGTGCTGTACAATAGGTCCAGTATCTATTTCCAAGAGTGTTTTAAGCTGTATCTGATAGAACAGACAAATCCCATTCCTCTATTTGATTCTTTCGTGGGTGCTGGTGTACTACACTTTATTGCCTTTAATTAAGGCCAAGATTTTATTTAGATTTGGGATGTGTTTTCTTTGCCTCCAGGGAGTGGACAGGAGGTTTGGTTTCCGACAGACCTGACCACAGCTGGTGCTAATGTAATCCTTTGATCAGGGAGGGCTTGACACTAGACAGCCAGTGCAACGGTTATACTCTGGCTGACGCACGGCATGGAAATGACAGAGTTCCTAAGCCCACTTATGGCCTAAGATTTCCTTGCAGTTTTTCTGCACAAAGCAGGGGAGGTGGAGTAGTCACAGATCCTACACTGGTCTCAAGCCTGATTTGAGCCAGCAGGTCATAGAGAAGCAGTGAATGGAAGTGTGTATGTGTGTGTAATGAGCGAACGTGTAGAGATGCTCTCCCAGTGCTGCATCAGAAACAACTCCATTGTGTTCCTCTGGAGTCACGTTAATTTTCTGCTATTTTCATAAAGCAGAGAACCTTGCCTTCACCACCAGGGCCACCTGGGTAGGAGAGTTTTAGGGAAAATGTGGGTAGGACTTTACTACAAAGTGGCAGACATCTGCCTCCTCTCCTCCCTGCTGGCCCACAAGCCACCTTAGCGTGGGTGCCATTTTAATCCCCAGAACACCACATTGTCCTCGGAGTGTGTCACAATTAAATATCCCATGTGCTCATCCCTCAGCCAGGCAGGCTAACAACGACAAGGTGGGTGCTAGCCCTACACTGCCTGAGCTGCTACTCTAGTTAGCATTTACAGATTCTTTTTAAAAATGCCAACCTACATGTATAATTTGGTAAGAAAGGTAGTAAATGGAAAAAAAGTATTTGAGGTATTAAAAATTACTTTAACAACATTTTCATCCCTCCCTAAAAGAACCCCTGTACCCATTAGCAGTCAACCCCAGTCCAGTCATAGGTGGCCACTTATCTACTTTCTGCCTCTGTAAATTTGCTTATTCTGGATATTTCATATATATGGAATCATACAATATATGGTCTTTTGTGACTGGCTTGATTCCCTGAGCGTGTCTTCCAGAGTCATCCATGCTGTAACATGTATCAGTACTTTATTCCTTTAAAAATTGAATTGTATTCCACTGCCTGGATATATTACACTTTATGCACTCATCAGTTGACATATATTGGGTTATTTCCACCTTTGGGCTGTTATGAAGCATGCTGCTGTGGAGATATGTGTCTCAGTTTTTGGATAGATATATTTTTATTTCTCTTGGGTCTATACCTAGGAGTGAGGTTGCTGGGTCACGTGGTAAGTTAATGTTTAATTTTTCAAGGAACCACCAGACGACTGTTTTCCAAAGTGTCTGAATTCTTTTACATTCCCACCAGCAGTGTATGGGGTTTCCAATTTCTCTACAACCTTGCCAATACTTGTTATCTTAGTTTTGTTTCTAGCCATTCTAGTGGGTATGACGTGGCATTTCATTATAGTTTGAATTTGTATTTCCCTGCTGACTAATGACGTTGAGCATCTTTTCATGGGTTTGTTAGCTATTTGTATGCCTTCTTTGGAGGAATGTTTATTGAGATCCTTTGTCCATTTTTAATTAGGTTATCTGTATTTTTATTTTTTTATTTTTTGAATGAAAAATTCTTTAAATTCTATTGTGCTTTACAATTTTCAAAAGTTTCACACACATGATTTCATATAATCCCATAGTAATCCTTTTCCCCCCTTACCTCTATATTGCCCTTCCACCTTCCCTCTTCCCACTGGTAACCACTAGCTTGTTCTCTATATCTGTGAGTCTCCTTCTTTTTTTGTTTTATTCACTAGTTTGTTGTAGTTTCTAGATTCCACATATAAGTGCTATCATACAGTACTTGTCTTTCTCTGTCTGACTTGTTTCACTTAGCGTAATGTCCTCCAAGTCCATTCATGTTGCTGCAAATGGCAAAATTTCATTCTTTTTTATTTTTATTATTGAATTGTAAGAGTTTCTTGTATATTCTAGATACAAGTCCCTTATCAGGTATACAGTTTTTCTCCCATTATGTGGGTTGTCCTTTGAAGTACAAAAGGTTGTAATTTTGATGAAATCTATTTATCTGTTTTTTTTTTCCTTTTGCTGCTTAAGTTTTTGGTGTCATGTCTAAGACTCCATTGCCAAATGCAGGTTATGAAGATACACCCCTATGATTTCTTCTAAGAGTTCTGGCTCTTATATTTCGGTCTTTGACCCATTTGGAGTTAATTTTTATATATGGTATGAAATAAGGGTCTAACTTCATTCTCTTGCATGCGGCTATCCAGTTGTCCCAGCACTATTTATTAAAAAAACTATTCTTTCCCAATTGAATGGTCTTGGCACCCTTCTTGCAAATCAGTTAACCATAGATTAATGGGTTCATTTATGGAATCTCCCTTCTATTTCATTGATCTGTATGTCTATCAAGCCGTACTACCCTGTCTTGATTACTGTAGCTTTGTAGTAAGTTTAAAATTGGCAAGTGTGAGTCCTCCAACTTTATGCATCGTTTTCAAGATTGTTTTGGCTATTTGTGGTCCCTAGCACTTCGCTTTGAATTTTAAGATCAGCTTGTCCATTACTGCAAAAAAAAACTTAAGGCAGCTGAAATTTCTAAAGAGATTGCATTAAACCTGTAGATCAATTGGTGGAGTATTGCCCTCTTGACAAGATTGTCTTCCAATTTGTGAACATAGGCTGTCTTTCCATTTATTTAGATCTTCTTTAATTTCTTTCATCAGTGTTTTATAGTTTTCAGAGTATAAGTTTTACACAGCTTTCATTAAATTTATTCCTATTTTATTCTTTTTTGTAAAAAATTTTAAATTGAAGTATAGTTGACACACAATATTGTTAGTTTCAGCTGTGCAACATACTGAGTCGATCAAATACATTATGAAAGGATCACCATGAGAAGTTTAGTAGCCATCTGTCACCACACAAAATTATTACAGTATTATTGACTATAGTCCTTATGTTGTATAGTACATCCCCGTGACATTTATTTTATACCTGGGAGTTTGTATCTCTTAATCCCCTTCACCTATTGAGCCCAGCCCCCCACCTCCCCTCCTCTCTGGCAACCACTAGTTTGCTCTCTGTTTCTATAAGTCTGTTTCTGTTTTGTCTTGATTTTTGTTTTGTTTTTTAGATTCCACATATAAGTGAGATCATACGGTATTTGTCTTTCTCTGTCTGATTTATTTCACTTAGCATAATAATCTCTAGGTCCATCCATATTTTATTCTTTTTGGTGGTATTGTAAGTGGAAGTGTTTTCTAAATTTCACTTTTGGATTGTTCATTGCAAGTATATAGAAATACAATCAATTTTTATATATTGGTCTTGTATCCTGCAACCTTGCTGAACTCATTGATTAGCTCTAGTAGTTTTTAATGGGTTCCTTAGGAGTTTTATACACAAGATTATGTCATCTGTGATTAGAGATAATTTCACTTCTCCCTGTCCAGTATGGATGCCCTTTATTTCATTTTCTTACCTGATTTCCCTGGCTAGAACCCAGTACAATGCAGAGTAGAAGTGGTGAGAGCAGACATCCTTGTCTTGTTCTTGATCCGAGGGAGAAAGCATCCAGTCTTTCATCATTATGATATTAGCTGTGTGTTTCTCACAGATGTTCTCCGTCAAGGTTGAGTGTATTTTTCATGAAAAAATGTTGGATTCTACAAATGCTTTTTCTGCATCTATTGAAGTGACCATGTATGTGGTTTCTTCTTTTTATTCTATTGATATTGTATATTACATTAATTGGTTTTCATATATTAAAGTAACCTTGCATTCCTTGCAAGTCCTACTTGGTCATAGTGTATAATTCTTTTTATATGCTGCTGGATTCAGATGGCTAGTATTTTATTGAAGAATTTTGCATCTATATTCATAAGATATATTGGTTTGTAGTTTTCTTTTCTTGTGATGTCTTTGGTTGAAAATTTTAAAAGGTGAAATATATTTCCACATCCCCAAAGGAGTGTCTTGTGCCTTTAGCCTTTCATTTGCTTCTAACTTTCCCCTGATTTGTCCTAACGTAATTCTTATCAACCTGGTTCCATTCCCAATCAGAAGGTGTTTCCATCTGGGTTTAGCAAGCTGGAGGTGGGTAGGGTGGGTGCATAAGATGAATTTGAAAATAGGACAAATATATTGCAGAACCCTTGTGTGAAAGAGGAAAAGACCTGGTGAATGAAAGTATCCAGCATCTGGGCACATATGTGATATATATATATATTTTTTTTGCGGTACGCGGGCCTCTCACTGTTGTGGCCTCTCCCGTTGCGGAGCACAGGCTCTGGACGCGCAGGCTCAGCGGCCATGGCTCACGGGCCCAGTCACTCCACGGCATGTGGGATCTTCCCGGACTGGGGCACGAACCCGTGTCCCCTGCATCGGCAGGCGGACTCTCAACCACTGCGCCACCAGGGAAGCCCACATATGTGATATTTATCATCAAAACAAAAACACTAGAGACAAATTGTGTGTGAAAGATCTTTTATAACTCTCATCTTAATAATAGCAAGATTCAGGGTCTTCCCTCCCCTTCCTCAGTGTTGCCACTACTGAACTATATACTTTCAATGGTGAATTGTATGGTAGGTAAACTATATCTCAGTAAAAGTAAAGCTATTATATAAAAAAGATACATGTTGATCATTTTAAAAAATCAAAATTATGCAGAAGTACATAGAGTATAAAATGAAAATATCCCTCCTGTTCCTAGTGCCATTCCTCAGAGTTCCTAGTGCCATTCCACCACTAACAATATGGTGGATATCCTTCCAGACTTTTCTCTATGAACACAAACTACATATGTATGTAATATATGTATATGTATTAAATGGGACCATACTGTTCTTTATTTTGTTCACTCTATATCTCATGGACAACTTTCTGTGTCAGCACATATGCTTCTGAGGTGTCTATGGTAGGCCATATTATAGACGTATTGATACATGTGTCTTTGGTTCATTTGGTTCCCTTGGCTGCTTTCAAGACTTTTTCCTTCCTGTCCAGGGCCAAGAGCAGCATGGGGAACAAAGTCCTGTCCCACGACAGCATCTTCATGTTGAAGTCTGAGTCTGAAAGATCAGGAAGCAGAATATGCCCCTCTCCAGAGGTCCAGAGAGGCAGACAGCTTCAGGTAACAGTGAACTTGAGCATCAGTGCCTAATTGGACTATTCATCTTCCATTCCCGACTCCTCTCCTGTCAAAAAACAAGGAGGGAGGAATTTGGACCTGCTTCTCAGCTGATTCTACCCCACTGTTGTAAACATTGATGAGAGAACAAATAAATACATGATGTGCTTACCTAGTACCCGGCACACAGTGTTGGCTGGTATCACCATATTCACTTCTCTTTACACACCCCAAGAATGCTTTAAGTATTATGACAGTGACATTCCACTGTTAATGTGCAGACATTCCAACCCCCATGTTTTTTCTTTCTTCCACAGAGATCTTATATTTTTAGAACTCTGCCTAGAGCTTTGAATGGTAGTGTGCATAGAGCTGCGTTTGGAGCTAGGCCGCAATCTGTGCCCAGAAGTGGAGTCGGGGTTGCAGGCACCAAGATCACTGAGGTAATAGAAGAGAATTGTTCAAAGTCGGACAGATAGCCCTACACTTGAATCCTTGCTCTGCTACTTATTGGCTCTGAGACTTTGGGCTGATTGCTTAACCTCGCTAAGCCTTCCTTTCCTCATCTACATTGGGTATAATATTAATATCTACCTCAAAGGGTTGCTCGTGAGGATTGAATACAGATTCAGAGAGATTAAAGAAATTGCTCAAGCTGACCCGTATAGTTAGTGGTAGACCTGGAACTCTGACCCAGATGTGTTGACCTCCAAACCCATAGTCTTTCCCTTACACCAGTCTCTAAGATGTTGAGCTTCTCTGGCCCTGCCTCCACAGGAAGGAGGGTACATCTTTAGTCTATGTAAAATGCAACACCTACGTAGAACAGTCTCTTACCTTCAGTTACCCCTACCCATTGCTCAGTCAGACTCTTCTCCACTAGAGAGCTGATTATTTTGCATTTGGCAAGAGGTAACTGGGGCTTATTTCTGACATGTCTGCTTAAGACCCCCTATCTCTCGCTCTGATTTTCATACTGTGTGTGGAAGTTCTGCTGGGTACATTAGCCATGAAGGGTGGAGAAGCAAACACTGAGATGGTCACCAGTAGCGCTGATCTTATGGTTGTAAAGCAGCCCCTAGGTCAGTGTTGGCCTCTCGCACTACAGCAGGAAAAGTCACTTCCATGAACTTTCCAGTCTTCAGTTTTAAACATCAACACCAGCTTTCACCTGTCTCCACAGCTATACTCCCTTGGCATCCAGTGGCAAAAATCGGCAAAAATCCAGGTACACACGAGCAAATGCCACGGGGTTATTTCTTACATTCAGAAAGGGGAACATTGTTTCCTGGACTCCTCCCTCTCTCCCTCCTCTCAGTCCCAGAAACAAAGAGACTCTTATAGAAGAGATAGTCCATTAAAATAAAAAAAGATAAGAAAAAGATTCTAGGGGTGTTTCTTCCCACAATGAAGGGGGCAGGGAAAACCACAGTAGCCCAAAAACAAGTTTTCTTCAATGTCTGGTTTGGGCCCACACCTCATACTTTTGGTTTGCTCCCTTAGTCCCTCCCTTGGGAAACAGGGCTGAAGGTGGAGTAGGGTGTTAACAGAAGCTGAGTCATCAACAACCAGATTGATGCTTGCGTGGGAAACTTCCCTTAAGTGCCAAGGTGACATTCCTAAATGACAGGGTGGTTGATAGCATTAAGTCAAGGGTCCTGACATGCAGTGTTGCATAGAAGCTGGGGTAAATACGGACTTGGCCAATGGTTGGGTCCCTTGAAGGAGCAGGATTCTTAATGGATTAAGTGACATTCAGAGCAAGTGGGAGATTGTGGGAGAGGAAATCCAGGCATACAGTTTTGTTAGAAATACCAAGACCGAGCCAATTTTTTGTTTTGATCTGATAAATGCACGCATCCCCCACCCCCCGAGAGGGGGTGTCAGCGCCCATCGACATGTATTAGCTCTAGAATTACCACAGTTATCTAAATAGGAGAGGAGTGAACGGCCAAAGGAACCATAAGTGATTTCATGAGCCATTCGGAGTTTCACCGCCCCAGCTGTGCGTACTTAGACATACATGGATTCATCTCTGACAAGCATATGCTACTGGCAGATTTTCACCTGATGTCCTATCTGAAGTGTTAGGAATGTGGGTGCCTAGATTACTCTTCAAGATGTTTCATGTTCTTTTTATTTGAGGACAAATTGACAAGAAGAGGTAATAGCAGATTATTAGCATCTTCTTATTGTTGAATCAAACTGAATTCAGTCATTTAAGAAACTGAGAGCACAAAGCAGCTTTTCTTATTGCTCACAGACCTGACTCTCCCTCTGCAGCCCTTCTTAAGGAAGCAGGCACACCACCTCTTCTGGCTGTTGCCTTTAAACTTCCTGAACTTGAGTATGGGACATCCCCTTCCCGGCCCTCTTAGTTAGGAGACAGGAGTGCGGATTGGTTAAGAACGTAGGCTTAAAGACAAACAGACCTTTTCAGATGCTTGCTCTGCCACTGTGAGAGTTAGGGCCAGTCATGTGATTTCTCAGACCTGGTTTCCCCCATCGGTAATATGGAGACCACAAGAGCAAACGCTTTCAAAGAATTGTAAGGTTTGAATGAAATACATCTATGGAGAGCACTCCCTGCCTAGCAGGAAATAATAAAGATTAAAGCAGAATAATGCCTTCAGTAAAAGTTAGCTGCCATTAGTATAGTGATTATTATCGCAGTTGGGCTTGGGGATGGTTAATCCCCAAGGTCTCTCCTCAAGAGCCCCCAGTGGGACCTGGTAGTAATAAGAGGGCACCTTAGACATTGGCTGGGAGTACCCCACAGGCAGAAACTCATTGTGGCCCCTTTTCTTTGGCTTTGAGAGTTTGACTGCCGTCTGTCCTGAACAGGAGCAGAGCCTATGACAGAAGCAAGCATGTCAGCTCCATGACAACAAGGATTTTGTTTTGTTTATTGCTGTGGCCTCACTGCCTAGAATGGGTATGGTACACTGCACATGCTTAGCCAGTACTTGTTAAAGATAAAATCAGGTGTTCTGATCCACATCAAGGGGACCGTGGCAGGGATCGGTGCCTCAAATTCAAGTGTACCATGAACTTCAAACTGGAATCAACTAAATCAGTCTGCTGAAGCTCAAGGTAAACCCAAACGATCAACTTTATCCACTTCAGAAAACTAGTAAAAACCAGTTCTAACCAGGACTCGTTCTGTAGATTTTCTAAAAATCCCAGAAAATCAATCTTGACAGGCTTAAGACAAGCAACCAACACGGTCAAGATTTGATCCAGACAATTCCTGGACTGATAGAATGATAGAAAGCCCAGATCGTAACTCAAAGACTCACCTTCACAAGATCTGGACTTCCAAAGACAGGGCCAAGGTCAAAACAAAGATCAGACTCAAACAAGATTTATAGTTGGCATCAGTAGGAGGTAACACCAGGATTCTGGTTTGGATCAAACAAGCAATTTGAAGTTTCTGTCTTTGGGGATTGGCAAACGGGTGCAGCCAATCCCCAGAGAGTGAACCAAGGCTATTCGTCTTTGGTTTGAGGACGTACTGGAAGGGAAGACAAGGAGGTAGGAGATGCTTTCCGTGGCTCATAGTTTTCACTTTGGGTTCTTAGCCCTTCAATCATTAAGCAACAAGTAATTTGGAGGAAGGCACACAAGTTTTAACTTTTTCCTTCTATCCTCCTCCTTGACAGATCCCACCACGGGGCCCACGCCAACCCAGCATCAGCTCACCTCTTATTCAATCTGACACAGTCTCTAAGGAGTTTGAAGAAATCTCTGTTGCTGATGAGTCACTGAAGAGCCCACGGAAGAAGGGTTTATCACACACGATCTTGACATTGAAGAAGGCAAGTGTTAGTTCCATCCTAAGTCGCAGGTTGTGGGGGACGCTTTTATTCCTGCTGTAGCTCACTACTAGGGGGATGTCTGGGGAAGGAGCTGCCATTCTTGCTTTTGGTTTGCCTGGTGGTTTACATTTTCTGTCCAAGTCTACAAACCAAATAATCAGCACTGTAATTTATAAGAAATGGAAGACAGTATTTCTGAAAAAAAAGTTTGCGGATGTTTTCAGTTATTTCACGAAGAAAACAATAGAGATTTTTATGGAAGTAAAGCCTCTATAGATTCCAATGCCCAAATCTCAAAGGTTAGGGCATGTAGTATTGTTTGATAGACACATATTCGTATGAAAAGTCATTTGACACGAGAGGGCAGGTATGTGTATTTCATATGTCCAGCTTTGCCAACCAAAAAATACCCATCAACAATTGGAAAATCAGCAGATTTTGCTCACATCAACACTTCCATTCTCATACTATTGTGTGGTTAATTTGATTGGTTGTTTTTGAGCTTGAGAGAGCTTTTAGAGTGAAGTAGAGTTTAGAACAATTAACCTTGGGGACTAAAAAGTATACAGACAGGTAATTTATGATGAAGATAATTGTCCAGTCAGCGCAAAACTCCTCTGTTTTGATGTTAAAAGATTCTATGGAGAGAAGCAGCCTTCAGTTAGATATGGCAACAAAAAAACAATTTGGTTAGGACCAAAGTTAAAGCACAGGCTTTAACATTCCTTGTTGTCATGGAGCTGACATGCTTGCTTCTGTCATAGGCTCTGCTCAGGACAGATGGCCGTCAAACTCTCAAAGCCAAATTAGGATGCTCACTGATTTATGAATTTAGGCTACGACAATAGCACTAAGTCAGACAACTTGGAACAGTCTGAACTGGTGGAAGGATTGAATTAGATAACATTTTTTATCATGGTAAAATACACATAACATAAAATTCATCATGTTGAAGTGTACAACTCAGTGGCATTAAGTACATTCACAATGTTGTGCAACCATCACCGCTCTCCAGTTCCAGAATAGCTTTGGTTCCTGCATAAGGAAGCCCCAGGCCCACTAATCACTCATCACTCCTCCTCCCTCTCAGCCCCTGGTAACTACTAATCTGCTTTCTGTCTCTGGATTTGCCCACTCTGGATACTTCATGTAAATGTAATCACACAATATATGGCCTTCTGTGTCTGGCTTCTTTCACTTAGCATAATGTTTTTGAGGTCCACAGCACAGATCAGTACTTCAGTCATTTTTATGGCTGAATAATACTCCATTGTATGGATGTCCCATGTTTAGTTTAGCTGTTCATCCATTGATGAACATTTGGGTCCTATCCACCATTGGCTATTGCTGCTGTGAACATTCATACACAAGTCTTTGTTTGAACACCTGTTTTTAATTCATTTAGGTATATACCTAGAAGTGGAACTGCTGGGTCATATGGTAATTCTATACTTAACTTTTTGAGGACCCACCAAATTGTTTTCCCCAGCAGCTACACCACTTTACATTCCCACCAACTATATATGAGGGTTCCAATATCTCTACATCCTGGCTAACACTTGTTATTTTCCTTTTTTTATATACAGTGTTTCTAGTGGGTGTGAAGTATCTCACTGCGGTTTTGATTTGCATTTCCCTAGTGACTAATGACGTGAAGCATCATTTCATATGCTTATTGGCCATTTGTATTATCTTCTTAGGAGAAATGTCTATTCAAGTTCTTTGCCCATTTTTAAATTGGGTTGTTTGTTTTTTTGTTGTTGAGTTGTAAAAGGTTTTTTATATATTCTGGATACTACACCTTTATCAAATATACGATTTGCAAAAAAATTCTCCCATTCTGTGAGTTGTTTTTTAACTTTATCAAGAGAACAAAATTGGATAAAATTTTTAAATTTTTGTTGAAGTTCAATTTATTGATTTTTTTCTTTTGGTACTTGTGCTTTTGGTGTCATATTTAAGAAACCATTGCCAAATCTAAGATCATGAAGATTTACCCCTATGTTTTCTTCTAAGAGTTTTAGCTCTTATATTTAGACCTTTGATCCAGTTTGAGTTTATTTTTACATATTGTGTGAGATAAGGGTCTAACTTCATTCTTTTGCATGTGGCTATCCAGTTGTCGCAGCACCATTTGTTGAAAAGACTATTCTTTTCTCCATTGAATGGTCTTGTCACCCTTCTGCAAATCACTTAACCGTAGATGAATGGGCTTATTTCTGGACTCTCAATTCTATTCCATTGATCTATATGTCTATGCTTATGCCAGTACTACACTGTCCTGATTACTGTAGCTTTGTAGTAAGGTTTGAAATCAAGAAGTGTGAGTCCTCCAATTCTATTCTTCCTTTTCAAGATCGTTTAGGCTATTCAAGATCCCTTGAAATTCTGTATGAATTTTACAATCAGTTTTTCCATATCTTCAAAAAGACACATTGGCATTTTGATAAGGATGGCACTGAATTTGTAGATCACTTTCGGGAGTATCACCATCTTAACATTAGGTTTTCCAATCCATGAACATGAGATGTCTTTTCATTTTTTTAGTTCTTTAATTTCTTTCAGCAATATTTTGTAGTTTACAGTGTGCAAGTCTTGAACCCCTTGGTTAAATTTATTTCCAATTAGTTCATTCTTTTTGATGCTATTGTAAATGGAAATGTTTTCTTAATTACCTTTTTTGGGTTGTTCATTCTGAGTGTATAGAGATACAACTAGATTTTGTGTGTTGATTTTGTATCTTTCAACTATGATTGATTCATTTATTAGCTCTAACAGATTTATGGGGATTTTTCAGAATTTTCTTTTTTTAAATTTGTTAATCTTTTAATTTCTTTTCTTCATAGTATGTCATTTATATTGACTTCTCTATACAAATTTATTTGGTATTTTCTTCTGCTTTCATGAGTATGCAAAATCTATCTGGGAATTTTTTTCCCCAGACATTGTAATTTTCATATGTTCTGGGAATTTCTATTTGGCTCCTTTTAAAAATAGTTTCCATTTCTCTTTGAAATTCCACATCTGATCATTCATTATAAGTATAATGACTATATCTATATACAGAATTTTCTGTACATAAGATTATGTCATTTGTAAAGAGGGATAGTTTTACTTCCTTTCCAATTTGTAGGCATTTTCTTTCTTTTCCTTGCCTAATTGCTCTGGTTAGAACTTCCAGTAGACTGCTGAATAAAAGTGGCAAAAGCAGACATCTTTGTCTTGTTCCTCATCTTAGGGGAAAAGCTTTCACCATTAAGCCTTTCACCATTAAGTATGATGTTAGCTATGGGTTTTTCATATATGCTTTTTATCCCTAGTTTGTTAGGTGCTTTTAGCATAAAGGGTATTAGATTTTGTAAAATGCTTTTTTTACATCAATTGTGATGATATTATTTTTTCTTTCTTTCTATTAATATGGTATATTACATTTGATTTTCATAATATATGACATAATTATTTTCATATGTTGAACCTCCTTGCAATTCTGGGATAAATCCCAGTTGCTTATAAAGTATAATTGCCCTTAATATGCTGTTGGATTTGGTTTGCTAGTATTTTGCACATGTATTCATGAGGGATGTAGGTCTATAGCATTCTTTTCTTGTGATGCCTTTATCTGGCTTTGGAATCATGGTAATGTTTGCCTCATAGAATCAGGAAGTGTTCCCTCATATTTTTTTTGAAATATTTGTGAAGGATTGGCATTATCCTTTAAAAGTTTGGTAGAATTCACCAGTAAAGCCATCTGGTCCTGGGTTTCTCTTTGTTGGGAGGTTTTGATTACTGATTCACTCTCTTTACTTGTTATAGGCATATTCAGATTTTCTATTTCTTTTTGATTCAATTCTGGTAATTTGGATGTGTCTAGGAATTTATCCATTTCATCTAGGCTATCTATACAGTTATTCATAGTACTGTCTTATAATCCTTTTTATTTCTATAAGGTCCGTAGTAATTGTTCCCTTTCATTCTTATTTTAGTAATTTGTATCTTGTCTCTTTTTTTCTTAATCAATCTAGCTAAAGATTTGTCAGTTTTGTTTTACTTTTCAAGGAACCAACTTTTGGTTTCATTGATTTTCCGTATTGTTTTTCTGTTCCCTATTTCATTACCTCTGCTTTAATCTTTGTTATTTCCTTCCTTTTGCTAGCTTTGGGTTTAGTTTTATCTTTCTAGTTTCTTAAGGTGGAGAGTTAGGTTATTGATTTGAGACCTTTCTTCTTTTTTAACAAGCATATACAGCTATAAATTTCTAAGGACTGCTTTTGCTGTATCACATAAGTTTTGTTATGTTGTGTTTTAGTATTAATTCATGTCAAAGTATTTTCTAACTTTCCTTTTGATTTCTTCTTTGACCCATTTGTTGCTTAAGGGAGTGTTGTTTAATTTCCACCTATTTGTGAATTTTCCAGTCTTCCTTCTGTTATTGATTTCTAGTTTTGTTCTGTTGTGGTCAGAGAAGAGACTTTGCATGATTTCAATCTTTTAACATTTATTAAGATTTATTTTGTGGCCTAGCATATGGTCTATACAGGAGAATGTTCCATGTGAATTTCAGAAGAATATGTATTATGCTCTCGTTGAATGGAATGTTCTGTATATATCTGTTAGGCTTACTTGGTTTATAGTATTGTTGCAAGTCCTCTATTTCCTTATTGCTCTTCTGTCTAACTATTTATTCATTATTGAAAGTGGGATACTGAAGTCTCTATTATTGTATAACTGTCCATTTCTCCCTTCAATTCTGTCAATTTCTGCTTCATGTATTTAGGAGTGGGTCAGTTGTTTGGTGTGTATACATTTATGATTGTTCTATCTTCCTGATGGATTGACCCTTTTATCAACGTATAATGTCCATCTTTGTCTCCTATAACAATTTTGACCTGAAGTCTGTTTTGTTTGATGTTAGTATAGCCACCTGACCTCTCTCTTGGCTACCGTTTGCTTGGAAGCCCTTTAATCATCCTTTCACTTTCAACTTATTTGTGTCTTTGGATCTAAAGTGGGTCTCTTGTAGATAGCATATAAATGGATCATGCTTTTAAAATTCATCTCGCCAATTTCTGCCTTTTAATTGGAGAGTTTAATTCATTTACATTCATAGCAATTACTGATAAGGAAGGACTTCTTCTGTTTTGCTCTTTTTTCCCTATATATCTTACATCTTTTTTGTACCTCAGTTCTTCCATTACTACCTTATTTTGGATTTAATTAATTTTTTTCAGTGTACTGTTTTCATTCCCTTCTCTATATATTTTAAAATTACTTTCTTAGTGGTTACCTTGGGGATTACAATTAAGAAAATTAACATTTTAAGGCATGTAGTTTTCTCTTTCTATTAATTTGAGTAAGCTAACTATGTATTTTATAGGTTAATGAATAGAGTTAAATTATTTATAGTCAATATTTCCTAACATCAATCTAAACATTTGTCCTGCTTTAATGTCATAAACTCTCTATTAGTAAATTGAAGAATTGAGTCAGGTTGTTATAGGTTAAATCTTGGGCTTGCAGGCAGAAAGTCTAATCTTTGGTGGTGCAGTTAAACCCTTACCATCCCTAGGCATGAGAGTTTCTCAGCTATTTCTGCCATCCTCCCTCGTTTATTAATTCACTAGGGTGACTACAAGGGGGGCAGATGGCAGCAACAGTAGCAGGGCCACACTGTATCCAGTGTAATAGGTCATGTTCATTATTCATCCAAATCATCAAGAAAATTTGGACTATACTCCCTGATCCCTATTGAGGAAGATAGGGAAGTAAAGCCTTTGGAAAAGATGTTTACTAAAAGCTAAGAATGAAAAGATGTTGGTATTTTAAAGGCTGTGTCAGTTAGCTGGAAGATCCACTTTGGTGAATCTTTAGTCTCAGTAACTCTGGACTATAAGTAAAGGGCTGTAAATCAGAGCTGGAAAAGATGAAAAGATTTCATAGTTAAACGCATTTTACCAGGAAGGACAGTAAAGCACAAATAGATGCCCAGGGTCAAACACTCTGGTAGTGGCAGAGCTAAGACCAGAACCCAGTCTTTTGACTTCCATCCCAGTACCCTTTTCACCCCATCATGTTGCCCCTAGCTTACACATTACAGTTTAGCTTTAAAAGGAAAACAAAGTATAAGTTGAAAGAACAGTTGGTAGGGTGGCCAGCCTAGGAGGGCGTTCTGGTGGCCCTGAGAGAATCTCTTTGGTTTGGTGTCACGCAGAGGCTGATCAATTGCTATGCACTAAATCCTGTATGTGCATGGATTCCTCACCACAAACCTGGAAGACAGGGAATGTTGGCTAAGGGAAACTTAGTGTGACTCTTCTTTCTGACTTTCTTCCTTCTGCCTAATTGAGGAAAGGCCTGGGTAGCGCTCTCTAACAAGGCCAGGACATCTACTTCTTCCTTGTGACTCTCTCCCTGACACATGGATGAATACAAAAGAGTCCGGGAACATTTATGACACAGAGGCTGCTGCCACTGGCTCCCTGCTTTGGAATCTCTTAGGTCTGCAAGTCCCACAGGAGGTTTCCCCTTATCCTTAATTTATAGATGCGGACAGAGATTTAGAAAATAATTTGCCCAAGATCACACAGAGAGTAAATGATGGAGCAAAGATCTGAATCCAGGTCTATCTGACCTCATTCACTCAAAAGTAAATAATTTTGAGCTGTGTCTGTTTACATAGGCACTTCGAGTAGGAGCATAAAGAGTTGTATGTTTGCCTTTAGATGTATATCACAAAGGCTTATGCAAAGCTAATTACAGACACTGTTCAGTGCAGTGCAACTCTGACATTTCCAAAGCTGCACTGTCATTACCTGAAAACCTTGATTATACTAAACCAATTTCACCCCCTTCAGTGTGAGGGCTGAGCCCTTCATCTTTTTCTCTCTTCCTTCCTAACCAAACCCCAATCCTTTTTCTTCTTTTGAGCTAGAAAGATATAATTCATGCTTTCATTAAATCCCCTGAAAAGAAGCCAAACAGGACTTGAATGTGGCTCCCAGGTCTGGTGAAGCAAATTTAAGAATTCCAGTGTTGCCAAGAGTATGATTGTTGTCAGGCCCAGCAACCCCATTTTCAGATTTATGGCCTTGCAGTGTGGGTCAGTGGTTTCTGGGGTGTTTTCTAGAGTTCCCTGCAGCATATCACTCAGAGATCAGAAACCTCAAATCTAGGTGAACCACTTCTAATAGGTAGAATGATCACCAGGTTATGGACGCCATTGGAAATAATTTCCATTGTGAATTGTATTATTATGCTTCCAACAGAGCCATTTGGATAGTAAGGACTTTTTTCCTGATGCTTTTTTCTTCAGCAACCATTCAGGGGTGGGTTCAGAGCACTTAAGTTTGATTCAAGCTCTTTCTTTCCCTCTTTTAGGCAAAACCAAAGCAGGCGAAGCCACGCCTTCCACTGGCTTCTGAAGAAGAGAAAAGCACAACCGAAGGGAAAGAAGCTGACCAAAAGAGGCCGAAAAAAGACAGTATAGGTTGGCATATCTTCACCCTCACCCAGAAACATGTCCTCAAGCTTACTGGCATGATGCTATGTGACAGGAACCCAGGCCTGCTGTTGTGGTCCTCAGAGAGCTTTCAGTTTAAGATGCATACTAATGTGGTCCAAGTTTATCCATCTAAACTGCCCAATTAATACAGTTGCCACTTGTGTGAGATTTAGGTAAAGGGCCATACCTGGATTCCTATTGTACCTAAATGAATTTCCAACCAGAGAGGTGTTTTATGTTTGTTTGTGTGTTTAATTCTATGTCTAATGTACATGCTGAGTTCCTCCGTGAGCCCAGATATCTGAGGGCAGCCAGTGATTTCCCCTTCAGCATTCCCCCTCAGCAACAGAACCAGACAGTAATAACAGAACTGGTGAAAAAGACCCTGGTTTTTTAAAGTTGCTTTTCTCTTCCAGTACAGAGAAAAGGTCTTGTGTTAACAGTGAGACCAGTTCCCATATCCATGGGCAAAGAGGGCTTGGGAAGCTGCAGACAGATGTCCTTGGCGGCCAACACCCATCAAATCCCCAAACAACAAATACCACTGGAGTGAAAACCTGTGTGTGTGTGTGTGTGTGTGTGTGTGTGTGTGTGTGTGTGTGTGTGTGTTAGCTCCAGCTGATGGCAATCTAATTTCAGGCAATACTTGATAAACCAAAATTCCTGTTCCACAAATTAAGTCAAACAGCTCTTTCATATTTTTTCCACAAAGGATTTCACATGTGGGTTCAAAGGCAGGATATCCCTAAATATGTTTTCCCATGAAAAGAAACAAAACCACAAAACTCTTCTGCATAACAACAACAAAACAAGAAATTAAATGAGTAATTTCTTTTGCTTTCTTTTTATCCTCTTTTCATAATTAATTAATTAATTAATTAATTAATTAATTTTTGCAGTACACGGGCCTCTCACTGTTGTGGCCTCTCCCGTTGCGGAGCCCAGGCTTCCGACGTCCAGGTTCAGCGGCCATGGCTCACGGGCCCAGCAGCTCCGCGGCATGTGGGATCTTCCCGGACCGGGGCACGAACCCGCGTCCCCTGCATCGGCAGGCGGACTCTCAACAACTGCGCCACCAGGGAAGCCCTCATATTTATTTTTAATAGCTGTCACTTTTACACACAGAGGATAATACTTATTCAGTGTCCATGAGGGCAGATACTTTGGTTTTCCATGTCATGGGAGTGGTTTGGAGTACAGCACCCCATGCTCAACACTGTATGCTGGATGTGAAACCACTAGATGGAGCTAGGGACCAGTGGATGATGAGGGAGGGGAGGCCCCCGAGGGCCCTCCCACCTGGGGATTAAAATAAGTTCCTTAGTAAAAGTACTAGAGAGGAGAGGAGCAGTCTGTAGAACTGCTGCCTTGTGCTCAACCTGAAGCCTGTGGACCGATGCAGTTGTTAAGGCTTTCCAAGAATGGCTTTGCATGTATATTACATCAGATTATTTTAATAAAGAGAGTTGAAAGCAGAAGAAATGGGGGGCCATAATCCTACCTTCCAGATAACCCCTGTTGACACCTTTCTAAAAAATAAAGCAATACCTGCACATTATATAAAAATTAAGTAGAATTAAGTAGAAAATAGAAATACTAAGTAGGAAGTAGAATTTCCCTTCACCCTGCCCCAGTCAGTTTCCTAAAAGGTAATCGTTGTTACAAGTTCAAAAATTGCCTTTTGCTGTGTCTCACATCTAATGGTGGAACAGAGTATTGATATAATGGTGATGTGCCGACCTTGGAATCAGTTCATAAAACCGGATTTCACTTTGATTTAAAAATTTCCCACCACAGAAGGCTAATAGTGACCAAGTTGTTCCCTGTGTTCTGAATAGCTACTTCTCCATGCTAGGGAATTCAATAGCAAATAGGTACCCATTGGGCCAGGGAGGAGTATTCTTATCTTACAGAATCAAAAGTACACATCTTTCCTTTTCCTTACTTCTATTTGGTACAGGTGCCTCAGGCTGGGAACAGAGAAACAAAACTGGGATTTATGAACAGAAGACAAGAGATCCGGCTGCAAACAGAGATGCCGCTGAGAGCCAGGGCTACCCATTTCTAGCGGCATACAGAAGACAGTGTGGAAGGAGAGGCTCAAGTACTTTGGAAAGAAGTGAGCATGAATCCAAAGGAAGAAGCTTTAAAGCATCCAGTCTAGCACTTGACCTAGGTAATGGAGCTTGGTTCCCACCTGCCGGTAAGACTGCCAGGGATTTCCGTTCCTGGAACCTGCCCTTGCTGAAGCAAGTCATGGAGCAGCCCCCGACGGCACAAACAGAAAGCGCTACTCCTCAGGAGCTGCTTTCAGATAAAGATGACATGAGAAGGAGCAATGCCGGTATAGATTTTGAACGCAGAAAAGCACCAGCATCACAGCCCATACCTGGAGACATGGAAGAGTCCATGGTTAGTGGTCTGTCACCATCCCGTGAAGATGGGGCTTCTGGAGCCGAGAAGACAGAAGCCAGAGCCGCTCTTTTACCCGTGGTGGGAAGCCCTTCTACAACCCGAGATATTTTCTCAGTGTTTACGGATCCTTCTGATAGCCAGTCAGAAGAGGAAGAAGCGTCCATCTTTGATTTGAAAAGTGTCCAATTTAAAATGAAGTCAGCTCAAGATACCTACAAAGAAAAGTCTCCTGGAAACGTTCTCCAGGCCTTTACCGCAAGCACTTCAGATAGCTTGCTGAGAGCTTCGGTAGAGGGAGGTATTTCTGCAGAGAGGCTGCCTCCCAGAAGCCTTTCCCTGTCCTCGGGGGAGCTGAAAGCTGAAGCCATTGCCTCAGAGGGTACTTTAGAGGCTGACAGTGGTTCTGAGCAGCAGCTGGCTCTTGGATATCTTTTCCAGCCCTCCAAGAAGCACAGAAATGAACAAGAAGACTTCCCAGAATCAGAAAGTTCAGCTGCGGGAGTGAGCGGTCCTGAGCAGAAGCAGGTTCCTAGGCGGTGGGCTCCTAGATATTCTTCCCGTGCCTCGGGGAAGCCAGAAGTGGAAGCCGTCTTTTCGTGTTACGAGAGTGCTTCCAAAGAGGGGAGTGGCTTTGGGCAGCAGCGGGCTCCCAGGCACTCTCTCCAGCCTTTGAGGAAGTCCAAAGATGGCCAAGAAGTCTTTGCAGAATCCGGTTTTGCTGTGCAAATGACCGGTTCTGATGAGCAGCTGGCTCCCAGATGCGCTTCCCAGACTTTGGGGAGGCCCAAAGACCAAAAAGAAGTCTCCTGGGCTTCAAAGAACGTACCTGGAGTGTGGGGTGCTTCTGTGCAGCAGATGCCTCCCAGGCGCCCTTTCCAGTCCTGGGTGGGCCCTACATCCGAGCAACAAGCCTCTGCAGGTCCAGAGAGCGCTGCTGTGGAGTGGGGCTTTTCCACGGAGGCGCGGCCTCCCAGAGTGACTTCTCAGGCCCAGAGGAGACCAGTAGTGAAACAACCAATCTCTGCAGGTCCAGAGAGTGTCGACACTGAAGGGGATGCTTCTACCAAGCTGCTGCCTTCCAAACATTCCCAGGCCACTGTGAGACCTAAACTCCAGCAAATGTCAAGTTATGAGGGTGCTGCTGTTGAGGTGGGCATTTCTGGGGGGTCACTGCCTCCCAAATATCCTGCCCAGCGGGTTAACAAGTTTAAAGTTGAGGAAATGTCCTCACGTCTAGAGAGCATGGCAGTTGAAGAAGGCATATCTAAGGAATCGGTGCTTCCCAATCATCTTTTCCAGTTGTTCATGAAGTTTATGGTACAGCATATCTTTTCAGAGATCCCTTCTACTGAGGAGGGAATCCATGTGGATCCTCTGTTTTCAAATCAACCTTCCAAACCCTTGTCGAGGCCTGAAGTCGAGCACCAAGTTTTCTCAGGCTACGAGGGGACCGATGTTGAGGGAGGCATTTTTTTGAAGCAGCTGCCTGCGAAAAGCCCTTTACCGTGCTTGGGGAGGCCCGAAGGCCTGCAGGAAGTCTTCTCACGTTCAGAGAGCACTCCTGTAAAGTGCAGTAGTTCTAAAGAGCAGCCGCCTTGCAGACACCCTGGCCAAGCCGAAGATGAGGCTGAATTTCAGCCACAGACTTTCGCAACAGGCCCAGTGAGTGCAACTGTGGAGTGGAGAGGCTCGGAGGAGCACCCGCCTCCCAGACACCCTTTTCAGGCTCCTGCAGCCCCTGAACACCAGCAACAGGTTTATTCAAGTCCCATGAGAGTTGCTGCTGAGGGAAGCATGTTGGAGAGCGATCCTAGCTGCTGGTCCCTACCGAGAGACCCAGCTTCTGCAAACAAAACCAAGAAACACAGCCAAGACTCTGAAGACCTCACTAAGAACGTCCCGATTCCTGCTACCAAAACTGTGACGTTCACCGATGCTCCTGTCTGGCAAACATCCACTTCTTGGGGCACCTACTCTAAGGAGGAAGTTCTTGAGAGTGGTGATCAAGGTAACAGACATTCAAATTTATCCACCAATCGGGCTGTTGTTGAAAACATTTTTGGAGTCCAACTGAGAAAAACCTCTTCCTCATAGAAGTATAAGGGTGAGAAAAGAGATTTTACCAAGCTTCCTTCTGTTTCCCAAAGGGGTCCCCTCTGGACATTTGTCCACATTCTGTAATGGACACATAACCGTCTCCCCATCCCCCTTTCCCCGTGCACCTTACATGTAGATGGGAGTTTATGCTTTTCTCAAAATACCGTTACGTGGATGCTCTCCTCGGCACCATGTAGATTTTAAAAGCCGGCTCATTAATAGAGCACTATGTTCAGACCCTCAGCTTGAAATCTTAATCTATTGTAAATGTTTGTGCTTACACAGCTTCTTAACTCACCTGAAATGTCCAAGAATCCAGAGCTAGGTGATTTCTTGAGCATTTATGGCTCTCAAAGCCTTTGTACCTTCAGACTCATCATCACACAGTCTTGTACGTGCCTGTAACCGTATCCATTTAACCACACACTTTCATTAGACACCACGAAGTAACAAATGCAATAATATTTTCCTTGGAGTTAGAGAAATGACATCAGTGACCTAAGCGTCTGGCCTCCTAGGAATTTTCCCAGCCCACCTGGCAGCCATTGTCCTACCCTGAAATGGGGATAGGAAGAGGGATGGACAAGGGAGGCAAAGGGACCAGTAAGAGGATGGTTTGCAAACTTTGAAGTACAGCTTCTTATCTACTCAAGGAACTCCTGCCTTGCCAAGTTGTGGGGAGGGCACAAAAGAAGGGGGCCCTTCTCTATATGTTATCTTTTTATTTTCATTTGGCAGTTAACAAGGATCCCCATTTGGGACATTATTGTGGGTAGGTCCCAGCCAGTCTCAAGACCCTGCCTGCCTCACTTTATTTATTTATTTTTAAAATAAATTTATTTATTTAATATTTTTGGCTGCGTTGGGGGGTCCTCGTTGCGGTGCGCGGGCTTATCACTGTGGTGGCTTCTCGTTGCGGAGCACGGGCTCTAGGCGCGTGGGCTTCAGTAGTGGTGGTTCGCGGGCTCTAGAGCACAGGCTTCAGTAGTTGTGGCACGTGGGCTTCAGTAGTTGTGGCTCGCGAGTTCCGGAGCACAGGCTCAGTAGTTGTGGTGCATGGGCTTAGTTGCTCCGCGGCATGTGGGATCTTCCCAGACCAGGGCTCAAACCCGTGTCCCCTGCATCGGAAGGGGAACTCTCAACCACTGCGCCACCAGGGAAGCCCCTGCCTCACTTTAGTTCTAACTTCTTTCATTCCTTTCTCAGGTAGAGCTCCTGGTCGACAGTCAGATCATGCCACCTCAGAGCCAGCTTGGATAACCATGATAAACCAGAGGCAGGAGAGTCTCCAGGCCAACATTCCTGTGAAAGAGCCAGAAACCAAGAATAGAGCTGGAGCCGAGGCTGAGACTAAGGAACCTAGATATGGGGTAGGACCTGGAACAGCCCACAAAACACTCCAAAAGGGTGCTGGAGCCAACTGATTGAGCTTACAATGGGAACTTTCCCAGACATGCAGCTCCCCAGCTCTTTGGATGTATTAGGCAAGGGAAGGGAACTCTTTGGGGGAAAAGACTTGCTTTGTACTCATAGAAATGTGCTCCACTTTATGTTCTTAAAGCATTTGTGAAAAGTAATGAATACGAGAAGGTTCTGTAAATCAAATCCTGTCCTAAATATTCTAGAGCAGGATTCCATGAAATTGGTTGAGAAATAAGTAGTTATTAAAAATCCCCAAAGGTCACCACTGGGGTGAGAGTTGAGTAACTATTCTTACAGATATTTTAGGCCTATAAATATGTATATGTATTTAAGAAAATATAAATGGAATTAAACTATACATATTATTTTTCACTTATTTTATTTCTGGGCACCTTTCCATATCAGTACATAATGATTTAACTTCATGTAAATAAAGGTAGTGTTTGGTGTTGGGTTTCCATATATTGATTTGGTTTGGTCTGGCATCTCCCTATAGGTTAAAAGAGGAGTTATATGATGAACTAGGCTAATGGTACCACAGGTGGATCAGGCATGCTGGGATGATGTCTTGCTTCCAATGTCCCATTTTCAATGTCTTTGGAAGTTTAAGAATGAGAACCCCTCTTGTCAAAACTACATAAAACTGACTCAAGAAAACTCAATGAAATTTACATATCGAGATGTCTAAGTTCCTATACTTTTTTAGGTGCTTACTGAATTTGTTGTGGGATCATGTGAAAATCTGTTTAACTCTTTGCTTTAAAGATCTTTTCATTTCATTATTAGTATTTTTAAGGGAGCAGGGTCATACAGGGGGCAAAGTCCACCTTGGTTAAAGCTTTGTCAGAGGGAAATACACTAGGGTATATGAACTAATTAATTTAGACCAGTTGTGGAGAGGTTAATTTGAAAAGCTTAAACTGTACAATTTTGAAAAGACCTATTGTTATATCACTTTGTAATGCAAGGAGCGCACATCAGATGTAAATAGGTTTTGTTCCATAGAAATCTATGGAACTCAAGTCAGTTAACTGATAAGGTTTGTTTGTGACCACCGCATTTCTGTTAGCTTTCTGTTAAGTGCTGGTAAAGTCCTAGAGAAAACGTTGTTGTCAAGTTACATAATTCTCTTGTTAACCTGTTTACACTGTTTGTATGATTAGACAGCCTTTTCTCCCAGCTCAGAAAGGTGATAAAGTTGAGCCAGCTTAGATTTTGTGAACCTAAATTCTGAACCAAGGTGCTTTCTGTGCTATTTCTTTCCTTATCTCTCTCTTTCCTTTTGATTAATGTTGAACTTATAATACCCAGGACAGGACTTGCACCTTGTGATCTGAGTAAGTAATTTGCTGTTTTCATGTCAGGACTTACAAGCTTTCTGTTTTCGTTTTTGTATTAAAGAGAACTGGCCTTGCAGATGAAAACCAACCGAGGAGTGTTTTCACTTCTGATGTTAACAGACAGGAGAAGATGGCACTGAAGCCACCGAAGTCTACCAGAGCAGGTAAAAAACACACCCCAACCCCCCACTCCCAAAATAGCCCTGGCAGAAGTTGTGAAACTTTTGCAATTTCAGACAATACATGTCTCTTCCCCCAAATCAGCTTATGATTCTCTCATGGTTCTTCCATTAGATACAGATATTAGCTTGTTTTAGGAAAATCCAATTATTATGACTAAGTCAGTCCAATGTATAATTTTCAGAGGGTCTTATAGTCTTTTGCCCCATCGAGGAAGCTGTATCGGAACAAAATTGTGATCACTCACTAGAACTTTCCTGTGGCTGGTATTCAAGAGGAAAGAACCAAGCCACTTTCTAGTCCATAGCAAAACGGTATTTTCTCACCTTCTACATTCCCAGGGAAACTGTGGAAAGTAATCCACTATAAATGCCCAATGGTATTGAATTGTTTTTTAACTATTTAGAAGGCTTGTTTCAGCCCCTCTGCATTCTGAGCAGAGGTATGAGAGGTGGGGAAATGTTGAAAGCTGAAACAAACACTGTGCTGTGATAGAATAGAATGGGGTCTCGTCAGTAGAGTCATGTGCCAGAGGGATTTGTTTTTCAGAAGGAGCAGGGGGAGGGGAGGATAGATTTATATTGAGTCATCTTTGTTCTCTGCCTCAGTCCACCTCATGAAGAAATTAAACTAGGAATTAGGAACCCACCATCTGGCCATGATACAGCAGCACTTGACCTGCTTATAGCTGTGAATATTCTCATGGGCACAGTAATCCAACTCTCACTGTGCATTAGGATCACCTGATGTACTTTTTAAAAATTACAGATGGCCCTGGATCCATTGCTAGAGATTCTAATTCAATTAGTTCAGGAAATAGCATGTGCATTTGTATTTTTAAAAAGAGCCCTAGGGGGTTCTAATGTGTGGCCAGGGTTGAGAACCACTGGTTGAGTCTAAGCCACTAAGTCAATCAACCGTAAAGCAGGATGAGGGAAGGAGTAGAACTGGGGAATAGTGAAGTACGCTGCTAGGTAGGAGTAGTTGATATAATGTTATTTAGCATATAGACTTTTACAGGGTGTATCTATTGAGTCATCAACAATCATTTCATACAGCATAATGGATTGGCAAAACGAAAACAATATTACCTAATATGAAATTTTAAAAACTGGACAGATACCATACAACGTGTTTCCTCTCTGATCTCAATTCAAACGGGTAAGACAATCCAATAATAACCACCCAAAGATTGGCATTTATAGCTGTAGGTATCTTCTCTCAGGCCTTCCCATGTCAGGCCCCTGTGGCTCTAGCCATATTGATGTTACCCTTTTCACATACCACCCTATGGCATTGCCCATGCACTGACTTTTAGAAGCCAGAGGAAACCTGAAAGGAGGAAAATTTTTACTGCATCCCATAAACATACTTCAGTATCTCTGGGGCTTCTTAACTGCTTGTGTGTTATTTGCTATGGTTCCAGTAGGATTCGAAGATGAGAAGATATTTCAAGTACCTTCTACGGAAGAAGAAACCAGAAGGTTTTCAACTCTCCCAGCCGTGCTACAACAGCCGGCTGAGCCGGATGAGCCAGCTGAGCCGGATGAGCCAGTCTGGTTCTCCCTGGCCAAGAAGAAAGCCAAAGCATGGAGCCGTGTAGAAGAAGCCATGCAATAACTAGCTCCTGGGTGGAGTATCAGCATTTTAAATGATAATTGCCAATAGCTGTATTAATGTCACGTAGTGAATTATTTACTGTAATCATTTTTATTACGCATAAGAGCCTTAAAAGGGGAATTAAAGCTAATAATTATTTGAATGAAACAGATGCCATGAATGCCTAACCTTCAGTACAGTCACTGCCAGCATCTGAAAACCCAGCTTTTCCTCTATAAAAACTATGTAAAATGTAAAACAGAAAGATAGATCAATGGAACAGGATAGAAAGCCCAGAGATAAACCCACGTACATACCGTCACCTTATCCTTGATGAAGGAGCCAAGAATGTAGTGGAGAAAGGACAGCCTCTTCAATAAGTGGTGCTGGGAAAACTGGACAGGTACATGTCAAAGTATGAGATTAGATCACTCCCTAATCCATACACAAAAATAAGCTCAAAATGGATTAAAGACCTAAATGTAAGGCCAGACACTATCAAACTCTTAGAGGAAAACACAGGCAGAACACTCTATGACATAAATCACAGCAAGATCCTTTCTGACCCACCTCCTAGAGTAATGGAAATAAAAACAAAAATAAACAAATGGGACCTAATGAAACTTCAAAGCTTTTGCACAGCGAAGGAAACCATAAACAAGACCAAAAGGCAACCCTCAGAATGGGAGAAAATATTTGCAAATGAAGCAACCGACAAAGGATTAATCTCCAAAATTTATAAGCAGCTCATGCAGCTCAATAACAAAAAAACAAACAACCCAATCCAAAAATGGGCAGAAGACCTAAATAGACATTTCTCCAAAGAAGATATACAGATTGCCAACAAACACGTGAAAGAATGCTCAACATCATTAATCATTAGAGAAATGCAAATCAAAACTACAATGAGGTATCATCTCACACCAGTCAGAATGGCCATCATCAAAAAATCTAGAAACAATAAATGCTGGAGAGGGTGTGGAGAAAAGGGAACACTCTTGCACTGCTGGTGGGAATGTGAATTGGTACAGCCACTATGGAGAACAGTATGGAGGTTCCTTAAAAAACTACAAATAGAACTACCATATTACCCAGCAATCCCACTCCTGGGCATATACCCTGAGAAAACCAAAATTCAAAAAGAGTCATGTACCAAAATGTTCATTGCAGCTGTATTTACAATAGCCCGGAGATGGAAACAACCTAAGTGTCCATCATCGGATGAATGGATAAAGAAGATGTGGCACATATATACAATGGAATATTACTCAGCCATAAAAAGAAACGAAATTGAGCTATTTGTAATGAGGTGGATGGACCTAGAGTCTGTCATACAGAGTGAAGTAAGTCAGAAAGAGAAAGACAAATACCGTATGCTAACACATATATATGGAATATAAAAAAAAAAAGGTTCTGAAGAACTTAGGGGCAGGGCAGGAATAAAGACGCAGACGTAGAGAATGGACTTGAGGACACGGGGTGGGGGAAGGGTAAGTTGGGACAAAGTGAGAGAGTGGCATGGACATATATACACTAACAAACGTAAAATAGATAGCTAGTGGAAAGCAGCTGCATAGCACAGGGAGATCAGCTCGGTGCTTTGTAACCGCCAGGAGGGGTGGGATAGGAGGGAGGGTGGGAGGGAGGGAGACGCAAGAGGGAAGAGATATGGGAACATATGTATATGTATAACTGATTCACTTTGCTATAAAGCAGAAACTAACACACCATTGTAAAGCAATTATACTCCAATAAAGATATAAAAAAAACCCTATGTAACATGTTTGCACTGCTGTCAAACTGAGAAAACTTTAACTTTGAACAATGCGCTTTAGAAGGGAGAAAGCTAAAACATTTTGTTGGAGCAACTAAGAGGTGGTCATTTCCTTTGATCAAATAAATTCATTCTAATGGAAACATCCAGATGATTTGGTGCAACGATTGGCTCCTAGGCTTTATGAGCCTAGTTAAATGCTTCAGTTCTTTGGTTACTGCTCCAAACTTTGCAAAGCCCCCTAAGAAGAGGTGGTAGAAGTGAAAATTCTGGGTCTCCAAGAAAAATGTTGCACAGCCAGTCCCCCAATCAGCCCACTGCCCTTTGAAACACCTTCTTTGTATCCCTGAGGGCTCCCAACACCTGCAACTTACACAGAGCTCTCTTTCCACGTGCCCCATGTCAACGTGTCACAAGTCTGGCAGCAGTGAGCACCTTCCTATGGGGCATAACATTCCTTGGGGATTATCATACTTCTCTGCATCGTTAGCCCATCAGTGTTTGACCTTTTGCCCCAGTGCCACTGTGACCCTCCCTAGTTGCTCAGAAGTGTACTGCACTTCATACATATCCTATTTTTAAAGCACTTAAGATCCTGTTGAAATTCAAAATTCTGCAGATTCCAAAAGCTGTGCTTTCAATGGGGCAGATGGGAAGCCTTCCACAAGGAAGTCTGGGGCCACTAGAGAGCTGTCTTATGCCCTGGCTCCAGCCTTAAAGTGGAAATCTCCGAGTAGCCCAGCTTCTTGTCCGTTTCCCTCAGCAGTCTCTGTTTTAGAAGATTTTAACCTAAGACAAGACTGCACCCTCAAAGCCACAGAACAACTGACTTTCTGCTAACAGGAAGCCTGAAGTGATTGAAGCAGCCTTTCCCTGCCCTGATTCCTAGAGGCACACACACCTCAACAGTCACTAGGCTGGACAGCCCCCACCTCGCCAGTGAACCACTCCCCCCCAAGTCCTTCCCCTCTATTCCAACCCCAAGCACATTAAACACTAATGGAGAGCTCCCTTTGGATGCCTGGACAGTACCTAGCTCATTTTCTCAGGAAACCCAGAAGTGTCTTAGTATACCTTTCACTGTGTCTGCCTCTGTTACCTTGGGGCTACTTTGCTTAAACAGAAATGCAGACCTAGACATAACTGTGCCTTTAAATCCCAAGTAGGGTGCTGCCTCATGCAAAAAACAAATTCAGAGAGGCTGTGAGGTGCCAGAGCTAATTTAAACCCTTGGTGCTTGGTTTTCCTGATGATGGTATAATGTGATACTGTCATATGCTGGTTTTGCGTTTTCTCTGTAAAACATCTATTTTTCCTCATACTATATCTTTGCCTTTTTGATAATGCTAGGGTTTTTTTTTTTTTTCCCGTTACGCGGGCCTCTCACTGTTGTGGCCTCTCCCGTTGTGGAGCACAGGCTCCGGACGCGCAGGCTCAGCGGCCATGGCTCACGGGCCCAGCCGCTCCGCGGCATGTGGGATCCTCCCGGACCGGGGCATGAACCCGTGTCCCCTGCATCGGCAGGCGGACTCTCAACCACTGCACCATCAGGGAAGCCCCACACGTATTTTTTAACACCGTCGGTTGTAACACATCTTAGCAGATTCCACTTCAGGTTATACTAAGTGTTTTTTCAACTTCTTCAAAAATATTTGACCCAGAGTAGTTCCATGCGGACTGTTCATAGCTACTAATCCGTCAGTCATTTTAAACTCAGCAGTCACCCACCTCAGTCCTAGTCTGCTCAATACTGTTACTGCCAAATTCCTAGGATGAAAGTATGAAAATTTTGACATGTTTTGTTAGACAGTGCAAGTACTACCAGGAAAATCTCAGGCAGGTCTTGGAACTCAAATCTCTCCCAAAGTAAATAAAAATGCTAATTGACTATCTGACTATACCTCTCATATCTGTTCAAGAAGTCCCATAGCTCTGCCACCTGGCACCCCAAAGACGAGCTCATTAGGAAGCTGCCAATGAAAAACAGCTATGAAATGACCAAGATTTACTGTGACTAATCATTTCAGAGCTGAGTCCTAATTCACACATAAAGAACAGTAGTACCGGTATAGGATATGATGCTAAAACAGTGCTTCTGTCCATACAATGAAAGGTGATCTTTCATTTGGAGTTCAAGCTACCTTCAAGCCCCTTATTGCTCACCCCAATTTAACAAAAAGTTGCTACATAGCTTAACACCATCAGAGTCAAGTCTCTGTGACACTCAACATGAAGTAGACACAGCAGCTAAATCAAAAACATTCAAGGAATTCAGACAAACCATTGTCAAAATACTTGGTAATAACTGTCCACTGGTAGAAAAGCATGAGGGGTATGTGGGCCTTTGTATAGTGGTTTCTGCAATTTCTCTTTGTGATATTTCACTATCGATAAGTCTAGCTGGCAAAGATAAATATTTCATTCATGAATGAGCACACTGCTTCACCACTTCCAGTTCATCAGAAAGTTTCTCTACCTCTTATGATCAGAGACAAGAAGGCCGGTAATAGTTCTATGGACTTGTTAGGAAAAATCCAGTCCAATGCGGTCTGCCCTTCATAAAACTCATATATGAAGAGAGTCCCAGAAAAACAATGTAAAAACAACAATTCAGCATTGACTCCTTAAATAAACAGCAACAGCCTAGCAATATTAATACCATCTGTTGACCCATGAACTTATAGGACATACACTACAGATCCTAGCCATTCAATCATTCACCAGGCAAGTACTGAGTACCCACCTATATACCCAGGGTTGTGTTAGAGAGGCCTCACTCACAGATGTCTAAGTCCCATGACTTGCTCTAGTTCATGGTCTAGAGGCAGACAGTTGGACAATGATGACACAGGTGTCAAGTGCTAAAACAGGGATGAACACAAAGTGCTATGGGAGTATGGGAGAGAGAATGATTAACTGGGACAGGGGAAGGAAGGAAGTGGGTTGGTGCCTGGGAAGGTACTCAAGGGGAGGCATTTCACCTGGACCTTGAAGGATCACTGGGAGTTTATCTAGCAATGAAGGATGGCAGGGAAAGGGTAAGGAGGTCTCTGCATGGAGAGAAAACAGCCTGCATAGTAGAAGAGATGTGTGTGCATGTGTCCCTGTCCAGGGAATGAAATGGCTCCAGCATGGGCAGCGTGGCAGATGGGCCTGGAAAGCAGATTGAGGCCATAATTATTACTACTAATAATTATTACTACTAAAATTATTACTAAGAAAGTCTTCTATCTCCTATATAAGCACATATTCCTGTTTGTGCCACCAATCCCTTCCTCTCTTGCCTAGCTCAGTGCCCTCCCATCCTTTTCACCTCCTACCCAAACCTATCAGTTTTATTCATTAAATCATGCATTTACACATCTACCAAATTTATTGGGTAACTTTCAATGTACCAATGCCACTCGCCATTGGAACTATCATTTGTATCTGTTCTTGTTTGACACATGAAACTCAAAGATGGCAGAACTGTCCACAGTCCCCATCTTACTGTCTCCCCCACCATCATTCCTGGGCCCTTCTTGGAGGGGTTGGCTGAGACCTCTGGAAGCTGGGCCCTCCCAGCTGCACACAGTGTTGGTGTTTCGATATATTTGCCAAGATTCTATTCATATTTATACTCAATCATATCCTCTCCAGTTGTCTCCTCTACTTCTCAG